AGACAACCTAACAATTGGGAGAAGATATTTGCAAACCATACATCTGATAAGGGCTTAATCTCCAAAATATATAAAGAACTCATGCATCTCAACAACAAAATAGAAGATTTAAAAACTTTCTGCCAGGCCCCTGACCCCCTACACTGGCATTGGGAAATTAGATCTTTACCCCACGTTAAACCATTACCTCTTGCCTCTTTGGCTGGTCTAGCACTGGTGGGAGAACCGTGTGCTCAGGCAGAGTGGGATTTCGCTGTATGCCAGTTTTTCCTCCATGGGCGCCAGTCCGTCTGTCCCAAAGAAAAAAGGCGCACTACGGTGCATGCTGGCCAATTGGGCCAATTTCAGTTATGAGCCCATGACAAAGAAAAGGATGATCTTTTACTGTAATGTAGTGTGGCCCCAGTATACACTAGGCTCAGCAGAAAAGTGGCCCCCAAACAGGTCACTCAATTATGATACCACCTTGCAGCTAGAATTGTTCTGCAAGAAGGAAGAAAAGGAAGATAAAATCCCCTATGTCCAAGCCCTTATGCTACTATATCTAAATCAGGAAAGGGGAGACAATTGACCGAGAAGTCATCTAATGGTTCCAAGACATTCTGTCATGTAGGAGGGGCAGAAGGAGGATGAGGATTTAGTGGTCCTACAGACCCTGAATCCACTGACAGCACCCTTGGCTCCTCCTCCTCCTCCCCTTTTTCCAGGTCCACCGCTTCCCCAAGAAGAAATGCCTGAGGGATTGACAGGTCTAAGGGAGGGACTCTCTCTCCTTCTCACACCTGACAAAGGACACAATTTGTTCAGGGGACCCTTCCCAGAGTGGGACAATTTCCCCTGTGACAATATCCCATGGGCATAAATGGACAAGGGCAACCAGCCAGCTTCATTTGGATGTACTCTCCTTTCCCTACCTTGGATCTTTTTAATTGGAAAAATAATAACCCACCACACCAAGAGGACCCTCAAAGGATGACTGATTTGTCTTTCTCCATCATTTCCACCTATCACCCCATGCGGACAAACATACATATTTTTTTTAAATTATTTTTTTATTGATGTTTTATTTTATTTTTTTTTTTTAAAGATTTTATTTATTTTATTTTTTCCCCCCAAAGCCCCAGTAGATAGTTGTATG